TTCTTGATATACCAAACCAGTGAACTCACCTTTGCCGTCGCGACACCGAAGAGGTGGGTTAATATATTTGACGAGACTGCCATTACCTCTTGGATGAGCAAGAATGCTGAAGGTGCAGCTCAAGGCTTCCATGCACTTTTTCTTTTCGGAGTGAATGAGGGCATTGTTGCCACAGCAGCTGCTCGATACAGTGGAACTGGGGAAAATAGGACCCTGCTTTTGCTATCAAAGATCAGCACAGATGGCGATGAGAACTGGAACGATCATACTGGATCACGAGTATCCACCAATGAAGCAGGAACTTCCATAAGTGATGCAAATGCTGCTAAGCGATTCCCCTTGAGGGTACTTGCACATGTGGAAGGACATACAGTGAAAGACGGTACCGAGACTCCGAAGGAATTTGGTTTTGTCACAGAAATTGAGAGCAGTGAAGGTCTAAACCAAGGCCTACAGATTCTTCCCCTGGCGCGAAACTTCAGTATTGCATATACAGTTGCGGGGGAATCTCTGAATGGTTATCTTGCTTTCGCTACCACTGCAATTGTGACGGAAAATGATAAACGTTTTGTGGTTCCTTTTCAGGCCATCAAAGCGAATGGGCGCATCGTATCCACTGTAATTCATTCAGAGAATCACAAAGTGGCTTTAACGCTCCACAATGGGGCGAGTGCTGAGGGCTGCAGAGACCCCGCCATTGCACCGTGGGAAGGTGGGAAACTACTTATGGTCACTCCTTGTGACGATGGCTATCGCAGAGTGTACGAGTTTACCGAGGATGGAAGGACGTGGACAGAGGCCCTCGGGACACTTTCGCGTGTGTGGGGTAACTCATTGAGCAGAACTGGTTCTGGTGTTCGAGGTGACGTTGTTACTGCGAGCATTGAAGAAAAGCAAGTAATGCTTTTTACGCACCCGATGCAACATCGTACAGGGGTCAATGGTGTGACGGATTTGCTTCACTTGTGGCTCACAGACACCAAGAAGCACATTTTTGATATTGGACCGATATCTGAGGTTGACAAGGCTGCTGGCGTCAGTTCTCTGCTATACACGAACGGAAAATTGTTTTCTCTTTATGAGAGCGGTGCCAGTGCAGCCCGCAGCCTTGTTTTTACTTCCCTCACTGAGGAGTTGGCGCGGATAAAGCAAGTGATGAAGATTTGGGAAGAGGTGGACAAACGTGTCTCGCAGCTGTGCTCATCAAGTGGGGGGAATGCAGCCTCGTCCAATGAGTCGTGCCATACGAATACGCTTACGGCGGGGCTGGTTGGGTATTTGGCTGGCAATTTATCTGGCAGCCAATGGAAAGACGAGTACCTAGGCGTGAACGCAACAATAGCGAAGGGTGAAAAAACGTCGGCCAATGGCGTGAGGTTCAAGGGTGCTGCAGCAGGAGCACATTGGCCTGTTGGTAAACAGGGGCCGAATCAATTGTACCATTTTGCAAACTACAACTTTACTCTTTTGGCGACGGTGACGATTCACACAATTCCAAAGAGCCACCACGGTGTTCCTTTAATGGGCATGAAGTTGAATGGGCATACAAGTACAGGCCTCGTGGAGCTGTTGTACGACAACAACCAAAGTTGGAAAGTGGTGTACAAGAATACGGCAACAAAAACACAAGAAAGGTCGTGGGAACCAGATACAACACAATATCAACTGGCACTGATGCTACGAAATGGCAAGGCCGCACTGTACGTTGACGGTCAACCTTTGCTTACTGAGAATAATGGTGTTCAAAGGGACACAATGGGGGAAATATCACACCTTTACATTGGGGGCTTGGGAAGCGGCACAGAGGTTGGGGAAAACGCAAACGACAGGGACGTCACGGTGAGCAACGTTCTTCTGTACAATCGTCCATTGAGTTCCTTTGAGCTGATGGGCCCTTTAAGCAAACAGAACACAGTTCAATTTGTGCTTACGGATTCAGCTGTACATTCCGATGACAAAAAAGTCATGGAACATAAAAATACAAAGAAAAACGCTTTTGAGAAAATACACACGGCTGACGGATCTGTGTATGATCATTTGAGCAGTGTACTGCTCCAGCTTTTGTTTGGATTGTGGATTTTTGCGGTTTTGTGACCAATGTGCACTTTCAACGTGGGGTATTTGTGTATCCTTTCCCTGGGAATAATTTAAAATTTACGAAAGAACGTTTTTTTTCTTGCTTTTTTTTTCTGTGTATGTGTGTCGGGATAATTCCTATGGTTTTTTTTTCGTTTATCTGTTTCTTGCTAAACTCTTCTTATGAAAAGATGACAGTAGCACATGCTGGTGCGCTTTTTTTCTTAATGCATACATGTAACGGTTACTCAGATGAAAGTACACTTGAAAGACAAAACAACATGATGAATTCTTTAATAACTAGCAGGTGATGCATGAACAAAAGGAGGGACAAATTGGGATGCGATAATAATAATAATTTTTTTTTGAAAAATATCTACACACATTTTTATTTTTATTTTAAATTTTCTGCAATTAGCAGAACAGATAACAGAATTTAGCTACTTTTCCACATAAACGCATCATGAAGAATGTTTTTTTTTTAATCATTATTGGTTGGGGAGGGAGTGACAGTGAGGATTTAAACAGGTGCAGATATTTTTTTTTTTTTTGTGTACTCCTTGTGGCTCTCAGTGTGTGAGCTGCGGTGCTGTATCTATTCTCAGTGGTCGTTTTTTTTGTTCTGGATGCTTATGGTATTTGTGTTTGTGCGTTTTCACACACTTTCCTCTTTTTCCTCTTTGCATGACTTATCTGCAAGTACACACGTACACGATACATCTATATATAGATGTATGTGTATGGATGATTTTTTGTAGTCGGTGCGGGCAGTGCCGTGTGTGGATGCTTCTGCCTCCCTTTATGACAGTTGGAAAGCGGACACAACGGGAGTGTGAATATACACTGTGGGTTATTCTCTCTTACCTTGCGGGTGCAGGGTGCTGCGTGTGGAAGTGTTGCAGTGAGCGGCGTCGTGTTCCACGCACGGTGTGGTGAGGGTGCTCCGTCGTGGGTGGGCCCGGAATCTTCTATGCGCGTGAACTTTGTGGGCCGCCTGTTCTTTTTTTTTTGTTCGTTATTTCTGCTTGCACTTTTTTTCCTGCACTTGTTGCTACCTCTACTTATTTTTCTTGCCTTCTTCTTCCTTTTTTCCTCTTCCCCGCTGCCTCGCAGCTCACTGATCCCAGCGACTCTACTACTTCCACCATCACTAATACCGCGACGGATGGCAATGACGACGGTGCGGTGCCGTGCAGTGTGCGCTTTTGCGGTTCTTGCGCTGCTGTGCGGCTGCTTCTCGTCTGTGTGCGCAACGGCGGCAGCAGATGCGGATGCGGTGGTGCAAGTATCTTGTAACCGGACTGATGGTAATTTTCTTTGGCGCTTTGCTGGCGAGGAAAATTGGACATCGTGTATGATGGTAAGGAGTGGGCGCGTCATGCCTCTTCCGGATT